GGTAACTATAACAACCTTTATGTAGAACCTGTGTGTGAATGTCTGTGTGTGTGAATGGATCTATATAGAAATTGCATATAGGAATATTTTGTGGTATTTACAATAAACGTGGCAATTTGCCTTGTCCCTCTTACAAGATCCTATTGGTATCATTTTTATTAGTGTAACAGTGGCACCTGATTTACCACTTTCAGTGGTAATTTAGGCTTTATAAATTATACTTACACCTACTTTAAGCCCCTTTGCAATTACCAGCATGGTGTAGAGGGACCTTAATTTAAATTAGAATCAGGCTCAAAACCAACTGTGATAGCCATTCCTCCTCCTCTCCCTCCCACAAAATGAAATAAAGATCTTTTCCAAGGACAAAAGAAATACTTGAGGTGGGCTAAACACCAAAGCACAATGTGTTTGGATCTGGTCATCACTGTTATCATTTGTGATGATGTGGTTTAGAGTAATTTGTCAGGTTTTGGCACATCTCTAGATTCTTGTCCTCTGCCCTGACAATATCTCTGTTTGGAGCAGCTCTGGCAAAACTGAATTGTTTTTGCAGCTATTTTATGCAAATTCCATGGAAAAAAGAGTCTCTATGTGGTCCACTTGCAGAAAAGAAAATTAACAACAGAAAATTATCTTTTTCCTCTCCCGCTAACACCCACATCAGCAGGCTCAGAAAATTATTAGTTGTTCTCAGTGGACCATATCTTGACTTCATGTCTGGGCTTTTTAGTTCCCACTGATGTCTTTATAGCTATTGAGAAATCTGTATTAAGACATAGTGTATAACAAGAAACACACACACGCATCCACCCATACCCACACCCACACCCGTACCCGTCTTTTTAGTGATCAGAATGCAATCAGGACATAAATTTAAGAATTCTTTCAATATAAATGCCTTATTGATGGTACTTATAGCTGATCTGCAGAATGCTGTGTTCAAAACGTGTGAGAGCAGCTGATGATGTGTTGAACCAGTTGGTTAAATCTGTACCGGAAAGCCTACATTACCATTGAAAATGTTACCTATTGCTTTGCATGCACGGTTATTTATAGTGCTGTGTAGTGAACAAGAATACCGGGTATTGATCTATATCACACTTTAAATAAAGCCAATCAAATGCCAAACGGAGAGGACAACAAATGCAAATAAAATTTGCCTGGTTCATATGTCATTAGAATACAGTTTATTAAACGTTAATGGGCACTTAAGAGGGATTTCCTCTGCTAGGTTTCTCTCTGGAATATTTCCAAAACTAAAGAAGCTACATTATACTCCATCAAATACACTGCCCCTTCATGATCTATGGTAGGTCATACTTAGTTTCTTATTGAAATGATAACCATCTTATTTGTATAATACCACCACAACTATTAAAACTAACTATACCTGGAAGCAGGAATGGGAATACAAGTAGCTGTGCAGTAGGAAAAACTGGTGGGACGAACAGATATTGTATAGGAAGAGCAAAGCCAACTCCATGCCCTCAGAGATACTAATCTGATGGAAAGTTTGACCTCAAAAGTAATACACGTAAGGAGGGGCTCCTCTTTCTCATGTTAATTATTTCACTTTAAAAAAAGGGGCTTTTAAAAGAACTTTAGAAGCAAGATCCTGTTTCTAAACCAAATTCTGCTGAGGTCATGAGTGAAAGTGAGTTTAGTGGTCTTCCTTAGTGTTTTGTGCACCTCATAAAACCACTATGCAGTTCAGACCAATTGGCAAGCATGCAGCATTATGTGCCTAGTGTCTGCCCAAGAGAGATTCATGAGTCTAGTGTTACTTTGAGCTTCCACAAGTGGAGGGTAGTATAGCCCAGTCAATTTGGTCAGGGAGGGTGTGGAAAGGGGAAGTATCAGCTCCATGCATGCTTCCTGTGCTTTCCCTGGGTCCTCATGGATATATTGCTGGTCTGTATTTGAAACGAGGATGGCTAAATCCTTTCTGCAGCTTTGTTCCATGATCATACCCAAAGACCAAGTAGATGCAAGTTAATGCTGACCCTGTTTTTTTTAAACTTGTGATAGCTCCCCTTCTATATTGTGAAACACCTTTTGAGAAGGGGTTATGGAAGCAGTGGCTGGTAAGGAAGTCCCTGAAACTTTGGTTCTATCCAAACTGTGCAGCCCTGGAGCCACCAGAACGCTAATGGGGCCTGGTAGCAATGTAGAGGCATGGGGCTTCAATACAGATGGCCATTTCTCTCAGCAGATCTGGGGGTAACCACAAAATATCACTCATCACAACAGACGAATGAAGAAACTCTGGAAGTAATTTGCTGCAGGCATCTTAAAGATGCAGCTTAATTTTAGGTGTCATCTGCTTGTAACTGCATGCTTACACTGTGTTGTGGCGATGGTTCAGTACTGAGTCACACCAAGTATCTGCTAAATTAACTGTAGCTGCCTCAGGTCACCTATGCCATTTGTATTGACTTCCCCTATTATATGCTTTTGGCCAAATTCTGCTGTCTGTTACTTAGGTATTACTCCATGTGTATATCATGGTACATGAGAGCAGAATTTGGCCATTTTACTATTTATGGTTGTGCACAGTAAAAATGAGGAGGGCAAATTAACCACTCAGACAATTCACCCCACATGGTCCATAGAAGACACTTCACTTAATCTAGGATGTCTGATATGGAGGTCTAAAATATCAGAACATTGCCCTGAGGTTACAGATTTTGCAGCAGAGTCACCAAATCTCAGATTTAGTTTTCTACAAAACTACAATTTGTAAATCCCCAGATTTCATGAAAGTAGCAGATGGTTAAAATACATGTCTAACTCATTTCAGTTCTACTCAGTGGAGTTCTTTCTGCATTCTTCATTCTTATTCTTCCTATATGAAATTACTTCTAAACTCACAAAACTGGAAATGGCTTTTTTTCTTCTTCTTTTGGAGGAGGTGGGAAGGGAGGGCCAAGGGAGGCTTATCTTCACTTATCCTCCAAATACACCAGCTGCCAATATGTAATTATATATATAGTCCTATTAAAGATCCATAGTACATAGTACTGAGAGACCAGGGTCTTAATTTAGTAGCATTTAGAGTTTTGGGCTGCATTGCTGGCATGTGCTAAATAAATTTACTAAATCCTTTATGCCATGTTTTATTATACAAAAATTTGCAGATGTGCCAAATGTAACAAAGTGGATTGGTCTGGAAGATTTAATTAATTTATGTCAGCTCTGGGAGTCTGAGACAACATTACATTCCCGGAGCTTAATTTGGATTGCTAGTGCTTTTTAAAGTAATTAAAAATATAGAGTTAATAGTCAAATAGGGTTGGTCCGGGATGAAATTACTCTACTGGAAAATAAAGTTTCTTTATATGTTCCCTGTGCAATCAGTCACCCAGAACAGTCTTTTCTCAAGCCTCCCTTTCATACAATGGTTAAGAGAATATGCTGTTAGGACTTGATCTTGTTATCCTGCCGTGTACTCAGTCCCCACTGACTTCAAAAAAAGAGTCCCAGGTGCCAAAGAACTGCAAGAAAAAGTAAGTAACATCTCAACATAGTAAGAATTAAAAGACATCTATTGCATGTTGAATACCCACTGACGCTGAAGATTTAAAATGAGAGCTTATAGAATAAATACATATAGACTATATCTTAGGGTTGTTAAACTTCAATCTAATTTTATTAACACACCAGGTTTCTTATATCCAATGAAATGTGCATTTGGGATCCATCTTTTTCCCGGTTCATTCACTGTATTTCTCATAACCCCAGGATCCCCTCATTTTGTTCACCGCTTTCCAAGCGGGTCTCACTCCATCTTTATGGGTAGCGAAGACTAGGTGAAACTGCTTCCACAACTGTTTGTACAGCTCTTATTTAGGCCATGCAGAATGGTTTTAGAATAAGACTTGTACCGGGAATCAAACTCAGGTCTCTCATTTAGTAAACGGAAGCACCATAGCTAGCTGGCTGCATGAGAAGAGAATAAATCTACTGTTGCAGGCCACCATCATATTCACAAAAGGAAAAAAAAGATCCACTATGCTACACCAGTTTCATATTGGTGCAACTCTGTCAGTTTCCAACATAAAACTGATGTCGCAGAATGGAGAATCAGACCCACGTGTCTTTCCAAATTCCTCATCGTTCACTATGTATCAGAAATATTGAAAATTAGAGCTGATTGGAAAATGGTAAGCATTTTCTAAGACAATTTTTGAATGCGATAATAAAATTGCTCCCTCCATTTTTTTGGTTGGCTGTTTTTTTTCAATGAAAAAAGAGAAAAATTTGGTAAAGGAAATTCAGTTTTCAGACCAAAGATTGACAGCCAGCCTGGGGCTAGGACCACGCTTCTGGTGATGAACACCAGAATGACAGATTCCGATGCTGAAAAATTCTCCAAGAACATAGCTAAGATAGGTCACCTAACTTGTGACTCTCGAACAGAGTATTTTCCTTGATGCACACATATTTTCTTTTCTAATCTGAGAAACAGAGGAGAGAACCAACAACTTTAAA